GGGAGGACAGAGTCAAGAGACGGGGAGGACAGAGTCAGGAGACGGGGAGGACATTGTCAGGAGAGGCGGGGAGGACAGAGTCAGGAGACGGGGAGGACATTGTCAGGAGACGGGGAGGACATTGTCAGGAGAGGCGGGGGGCAGCAGGAAAGGGGACTCTGGGACGAGTCAGGCCCAGGAGCAGGTGTTGGCGGAGACATGTGGAAGAGGACTCTGGAGAGAGTCAGGAGTGAGAGGGGCCTCCCTTTACATTCTTCCCTGTCGGAAGCAACGCTATGGAAACAAGGCCTCTTTGGAATGATGGCGAGGGAGGGGTGGGGGAGCTGAGGCTCCCTTTGGAGTTCATGTTTCCAGGTCGTCAGCATGAAGATGTCCTCACTGTGCTTATGGCCAACAGGACAGGAGCCAATGAACAAGAGTGACAAGGGCACCATGGAGGAGAGGGTGTGTGGATCCTCCTGCCCCCCATATGTCTACCCTGACAGTTGGAGAGTGGAGACCCCGGGATTAGGTGGGAGGTGCCTCCTGTGAGGGAGACAGACAGGCTGAAGCCTAGACAGCAGAAGCTGCAGACAACAATGGCTGTCCCCTGAGTCTAGATGGGCAAAGGAGCCCCTCTGCCTCTCGGAGCTGTGTCCCAGGGGAAGCAGGCGACAGAGAGGAGGTTGGCATGGGTGAAGAGAGCTGACTACTCAGGGCTTGAGAAGAGGGGTCTCAGGTGGAGGGCTGAGAGTTTCCCTCAGGTAGGACCTCGTGCTTACACAGCAAAGGGCAGCCGCTGCACAAGAAAAGAACAGTTAAGAGAGAGGGTGTAGGAGGTGTCTGGGAACTCCAGGGAGAAGGACCAAGTGCTGTTGCCAAGGAGACTGCAGACAGCATGCCAAGGTTTTCATAATCCCAAATCAGATCTCCAGCACTGGCACAGACCCATGTGCTGTGCAGAATGAGGCCCCAGGACACTGTTTGGGTGGAGTCATGGTGGGCCCTCAGGCCTGTGAATGGAGATTCTCAGAAAAAAGAATTAAGATCCCAGCCGCACTAGAAAGATAATATGAAGAAATATCAGTGATGCTCTCCTAAGTGAAACAGCTGGGCACATGTCATCCTGGCCCCTCTTTGGGATGGTGCTGGCACAGAGGGCTCCCTTTTCATCTAGAGGTACAC